TCTTCTTTTCGAAATCTGGAGGAAGTATTTTCTTTGCTCTAATATCTTCTGGGATAATCCAATCAGACATATGAAGAACATGATAAATTGTCCTGTGATAAGCCAAAGCCCATTGTTCCACTAAATAGTATTTCGAAAAATACTCAGATAGATGACGTTCTCTTCCCACTGCCTTTGCCATGAATGTGGCAGCAGCTACTCCATGCACGCAAGGGTATTTGTCTTTATCAAATTGCTCACAGGTGCAAGTCTTCATAGTCATATCAACGGTATAAACCTTCCCGTCAGAACCATGCACACTGTACTCAAGATGAAAGCTGTTTAACTCTTCCACCGTGACAAACCCCGCTTCAACACATCTTTTAGACATTTCATCTTCCACAACAGGTACAAGCTTCAGTGTGTATGGTATTTCAGCTGCCTTCTTCCTATACTTGTTAAACCATTCAGCCATTTTTGCAATGATTGCATCAAACATTGGTAGTAAAGTATACATTCTCGCATCCCTAATGACAGCATTAAAACATTCTGCTGAATTGGTGGTGTCAACATTGTACCTAACTCCCCGAAAGTAACATCTAGCCCATTTATGCTCTTCAACACTTTTGTCAAGATACTCCGCTGCTTTAGGATGCTTCCTGCGAAAAGCATGATAAAGATACTTGAACTCCGCCTCTGTATAAGCGTGTGCACAATCTCTAAACTTGGATGCACAAGCATCTTTGTTGTTATGGACGTGGCTTTTAACATTCTGAGACAAATGCCATATACAATACCATGTGCGGCCTCAGGGAACACTAAACGTACTGATTTGATTAAGCTTTTGTTTCTATCTGAAAGAAACACCAATCCCGGGACATCAAATATAACTAATTTCAACTGTTCCATAAACCATATCCAGCTTTCATCATTCTCACCATCTGCTACACCAAACGCAATTGGGTAATGGTGATGATCGGGATCCTGAGCAGTTGCAACTAACAGAACTCCACCATAAACATTCTTGAGGTGTGTTGCATCCACTATGAGAACTTTCCTCATCGCACGGAACCCTTCTATGCTAGCTCCCAGGGCAAAAAACAGACGCTTAAATACATGAGCCTCATCCACTTCCACACAAGTTTTTGTGTTAGCATTTGTTTGCTCCAGTATGTGCATATAACTGTATAATAAAGTAAAACTCTCTTTTGGACTTCCTCGCACTGCATTAGCAGCTTCTCTTTTTCCTCTCCATGCTGCAGTGTATGATACACTCACACCAACCCTTCGATGGACCAAATTGATCAGAACTTTGGGAACCGGTGTCTTAAATGTACCATGATAGTCTTGAGCCAAAACAGATGCAACGATCTGTGAAGTGCCTTTCCTTCTATCACGTAGTGTTCTTGTAGTAACAATAGAACATGTATGTTGCTTGATGTAACTTCTAACCGTCCAAAGATCTGTATTTTCTAACTTTGCAACTCGCACAAACCACTTGCAACCTTCTTTGGCTCCTCGACATTTAATCACAAATCTCTTAGTATCCGACTTAATTATATCAAACTCAAAAAAATTCTGATGTGAAGCCATCTGAATATGAACTTTTGCTGCCTCCTTCGTGGTAAATTCTTGTTCTAAAACCAAATCCACACCATCATCCCACTCGCGTCGCTGATAGTCCACTGGTGGTCTTACTTCTGCATCTTCAAGTACATGCTCAACTCTTTCCTGAGAAGTGAGCACCCCACCAATACCTTCATTATCAGTTGCATCTTTCTCTGCACCATCTTCATCACCAGTCTCTCTAGCAGGTCGTGTTCTTGTAACAACAGAACATGTATGCTGCGTGATGCAACTTCTCACCGTCCAAATATCTGAATTCTTCGACTTTGCAACTCGCAGAAACCACTTGCAGCCATCCTTTGCTCCTCGGCATTTAACCACATACCTCTTAGTGTCCGACTAAATTATATCAAACTCAAAACATCTCTCATATGAAGCCGTCTGAATAAGAACTTTTGCTGCCTCTTTGGTTATAAATTCTTGACCTATAACCAAATTCATACCATCATTTCGTGTCTGATTGTCACCATCATGCATCTCATTGTCTTCGTAAAAAGTGAGCACACCACATGTACCGTCTTCATCACCAGCCTCATCTATAGTCTCCCTATCAGATAGACCGACATAGACATCAGTTCATCATTCTCAGTACCATCTTCATCACCAGCCTCTTCTATAGCCTCTCTATCAGATACACCGACATACAAATTAGTTTCATCATCCTCTTCTGAAAGTTGCACTTCTTTATTGATGAACTCCACATGTAGAACACTTCTACACTTATCATGATTTACTTGCAGTAGATAACCAAAAACGTCTTCATCATTCCAGATGTATGATGGCTTGTACGAATACAATACCATTGGAAAGTAACTAATCTTCATTTCCACCCTAGATTCATCTACCTATATTTTTTTTGCAAATACGCTCAACCAAACCAGAGTAAGTGATCTCTTCCACCGATTTCTTCAAAACAACCGTGTGTATTTCATCTTTTCCTTCACCATCTCCTGAGATCCACTTTATTTCAGCCCCATCCTTCATAAATATCCACCATAATCAAAGCAAATGATAGAGCAATGCGGATTTTGCATTTTCCTGAAACAAAATGGAATATTATCATTATTAAGACGCTTATAAATTATTTTTCTCACCGTACATTATTCTTTTACTAATACTAATTTATTTCAGTATAAGAATACTTATTAATACATATAGTAAAACTAGTAATTCAAGTAATTCTTTTACTTTAGTAATACAAGCTTTCTCAGTAATACCCAAATACCCAGAAATTATCCTTCCACTTACTAATCTGCTTTTACGGACGATATTGTGCGGATTATACATCCCACATGATGTATAATTCATCTTAAATTTTAATACAGCCGTAAAATCAACAAAACGAACATAAAATATAGTCTAAATATATATATACAGTTTTCATATGTTTTTTAAATCTCTCATATTTTCAACAGATCTTCTTTTTTTAACACTAGCCGAGATATACATGATATTTAAATGTTATTTTACAAAAAAAAAATCAAAAAAAGGAGCAAGAATTACATGTTTTTGAAGCTTCAAAAATCGCCAATAGAGAGTGAGGAAGAGGAATGATACGAGGAAGATGAAGACATGTGGGCCAAAATAGTTTTGTTTGGTTAAGGTTGTTTATGTGGGCCATGTAGGTAGTTGGGTGTAGTTGAATTATTTAATCTCTATAATATTATTTGAGAAGTCACTTTCTTAGGTGTCGCGCTCACGTTAACTCTAACGCTGGTTGATTACTATGATATCCCTAATGAATTAAAAATATATTTAAATATTATTATTTCCTTTATAAAATCTTCCAAATAACAATATAAAATTAAAAGGAAATATTTATAAAATTTACAAAACTATTTAACAACGAAAAAAATAAGTATATATATATAATATGGTTTCATAAAAAAAGAAAAGTTTACAAAATAGTAATATTTAACTTAAATATATTTTTAAAGAACATAAATTATACTTTTTAAGTAATAAAATACTTTATATCTATATCTTCTTAGATGAAAAAATATTTGTATATAATGTGTTTTCATAAAAAAAGTTCATACAAATAATCTTGATATTAGAAAAAGAAATATTTTTTCTTTAAGAAAAAAATTTAAACAATAAAATATATATTTTCAAAGTAATTATTTTTGTATATATCTATCAATTTTATTAGATGATTACATAAAATAATTAAGTAACATAAAAATAATATATGTTTAATTGACAAAAAAATTATAATTAGTATTATTGAAATATTTTTTTAGTATATTTATTTGATTATAATATCTACAATTACAGCAAAAATATAAATTATATTTTACTTATATAATATAATTTCTCAAAAATAATCACATTTTTACTGCATATTTTAAGAGATATTAAAAGCAAAACTAAAAATAAATTTAATAATAAACATGTTTTGATCAAATAGATATATTTTATTTTAATAGTTAAAATTATCTGCTTTCTTAATAACTCTCTTGATGTTTAATTTTCTGTTTTTATGTTCGTGGAATTTAATATAACCATAATCAAAATACTTAGCAAATCAGAATTCCTTATTTTTAAATTATGTAAAATAAATTTGAGTTTACCATCCAATCAATCTAAAACATAATTTACTTAGAATTTATAAAATATTTTAATTATTATAAATATTGATATGTGTTCATAAGCTTCCAAAAATTTATTTTTACTTATGTATGTAATATAGAATCAGACACTTTTTTTTTTTTACGTTCTAAGCACAAAAAATCTTAAAATACATAATCTTACTAAGATATAGTTATATTTCTACGATAAGAACCAATATAAATGTAAATAAAATAATTAATCAAAAATTTAAGATATTTAGAATAAAAAAGATTATAGTTGAATTCAAAGAAATAGATAGAATCCAATATATGTATCCAAATGATAAAACTGACTAAATATAATATATCTAAAATTATATATAACTAAAATAATATAATATTATTAATATAAATTATACATACAAACTATAAATTAATATAAAATTTAATGTAAATATCAATTAACTATTATAATATATATATATATTTTATAAATATTTGTGCCCGTGCATGAGCACGGGAAAATCACCTAGTTGACAAATAAATGGGAAAGTGAAGCTAGTTTAGGAATTACAAGAACAAAAGCTAGTATGAATAGAGGTAGGGTAGTAAGGTTTAGTTGAGGAGGGCAAGGGGTATATGGAGTTAATCCCCATCTTTATCCAATAGTGGTCATCTGTGCGAGTGGATCATTGACCTGGTTGTGGAGCTACACCTTGGTCAGGTCTCTTGCTTCTTACAATTTATCATAGTCCACATATACCTAACCTTTAGCAAGTTCAGACGATCATTGATCTTGTTCATAACCAATAGCTTTGTCAAGAACTTGCAGTTGGGTTATATGCGGTGTTCACCTTTACATATTTACGTTGGTTTATACATAAATCAGCATAAAAGTTTAGAGCCACTACAAGAATCAGAAGCTTTAAGTCATTCCTAATACAATCCAGGAATACAATGAAGCAGCTAGCAAATAAAAGAGTAAAGATGATACAACAATACATATGGGAGAAGGAAGGAAGATTCAGGTATTCTAGCATTGTATGTGAACTGTAAATTGAACAAGCAGAGTAGTTTGAAGAAGAAAAGATTGATTTGCACAACTACATCTTCTTGTACACTCTCAGAGTCCTTAACCTAAAAGCCGATATATTAACATTTTTCAATGGGCAAGATTTCACTTGCAAGTCTATCACATTTTTCCAACAACCTTCTCTTTGCAGATTTACTTCTATAACACCAAACCTCAAAAGCTTCACTCAAATCCGGAAACTTCACGCCTTCCACCGCAACCCCTCTCATCCATTCTCCAAACACTTGTGCTTGGTCATTAGAAGGCAATGTCAAAACTAAAGACACCATCGACCCTTCTAAGAACTCGCAAAGATCTTCATCCATTCTGTACTCAGACTCAGATCCTTGTGCATCAACCAAAGTCTTTAACCTCCTTATGAAAGGCAACCATAGCTTCAGAAGACAAGCTCTGCTTCTAGAAGGAACAATCACAACTCCATAACCAACAGCTTCTAGAACCTTCCCTGTAACCTCAACCAGCTTCACTTTCACACCTAGGTTACAGTTCTGAGCAATCACAAGAATCTCATTTGACACATCAGCCCACTTAAAGACAAGATCTTTCATCAATTCCATCCTCGGCAACACTTTGCACAGCCACTCAACATCATAGAGTGTATTAAGAACATCAAACTCTTCGGGGAGAAGAAGAAGCAGGCATGATACGACATTCGAGATACCTAATCTCACGACAGATTTAACTTCCTCTTGAGAAACCAGTAACCGTACTTCTTCGTCATGGGACAGCATGAACTCGACTTGTTCTTGAGCTGAGGTTTTGAGTTCATGAGCAAGCTCAGGAGAGTTCTTAAGCGTGTCGATGGACATTGCGAAACGGAGAGCTGAGGAGAAGACATTCATAGTGCTGCTGAGTGATAGATCAATGGAAGCTGCTTCCTCCTGCATTTCTGGATTTAACTACAAGCCCGGATCAAGAAACAGAGATTTTAACAAACCACAAACTATCAAAGGTCTAATCTTTTGTAGAAATATCAAACTCTAAGAACACAACTGTTACCATCACCTTAGCTTTATTGAGATCCAGTGCTTCTTCTTAGAACAGTGAATGATTAAAACAAAGAGACAAACACTAAATAACACGGATTAGCTCTATGTTTTTTATTTGCCAGTCTAATAAGTTTTAGACATTTCCCAGAGCAATTATGAAACAAGTTAAACACGAGAGAAGAGAGATTTTGGTGAAATGAGAACAGAGGATAAACAAAAAGCTCTCCCTTTTCTGCGGGAAAAAGGTTCTTGCTTATCGTAAATCAATGAAGGATTGAAAAGAAGATTGATTTGCGTAAATGAAAGGTTATACCACAAACAAACGAACAATAGAGAAAGGATTGGAACTTTGCTATGGAGTGATCTCTGCGAAATCGCAATATATTTAGCCACTCTAATAAGCCCCGTTGAAGACGGTTCAACCGAACCAATTCCAAATTCGGTTTTTGATATGACGACGTCATTTGGTAGTCAAATACAAATTACTTTTGATTTTGATAATATGCAATATACTATATATATATATATATATATATTATAATATCAATGAATTTGATAAATAAATTCATTTTTTATCTTATGTATCCATCTCATCTTAAATCTAATCTATTAAAATTGAAATACAAATATGAATTAACCCTTAAAATTACATTTTAATTACATCCAATGTCAATCTTATTTTTACTCTTAACTACAACTAGATTTTGACCCACGCAACCGCGCGGGTGTTTGTTTTCGTTTATAATTAGTTATATAAACATTTTGTTTTCACTTGTAAATTGGTATATATTATAGTAATCACATATTTACGATATGTACAGTAAATGTTTTTCAAACATAATAATATTATATAATACGTGTTTTAATCAAATAGAATGTTTCAAATTTTCTATATTATACATGTTTTTCAAAAATGTGTTTGTTTCTTCTTCTATATTTTATTGTTTGTTAGATTAATATTTCATTTTTAGATAAAGTAATATAAATAGAGCTTGATTAAATATTAGTATACTTTAATTTTGCAAAGATAATATAAACTTCAAAGAAATTTTTGCTAAAAACTAAACTTATAGCTTCATAAATTAATATTATAAATAATTTATTAAAAAGAACTTTTTAAACAATTTTTTTTTTTAAACAATATAATTTTAAAAATTTACATCGAAATAGATTTATCTAGTATATATAGCGTGTAAATTTTGTTAGGGTATATAAATATTTCATATTACGATTCTATGATTTTTGTTAATATATTGTGGATGCATTTAACTATTATTGACATATTTCCTTATAAATAATAAAAGATTCCTAAACTTATATCTATTGACATATTTTGCGTGACTAAGTTAGAAGGTGTAGGGTAATTGACCAAAATCAAATTGTTAAGCGTATCTTTTTTATTATAGATATGATTTTTCATAAGATATAATAATGATAAGATTATTAGAAAGTTAATGTAACATGATTTTATAGTAATAGTCCATTTTTTAAAAAATCACATATGAAGTCAAGTCATGACTTCTATTTTAATAGATACTAGATTTTGACCCGCGCTTAAAAGCGCGAAAATTTTTTATGATTAAAAATTTATATAATTGGATTTTGTCATAATTTAAATAATATTTTGATATAAAATCAGTTCACCAAAATTTGTGTGATGATTGTTTTTCATTAGTTTTTAGTTTCAGCTTTTATTTTTAGATTTTGGATTTTGGTTTTTAGTTTTTAAGTTTCTACTTTTCATTTTCAGTTTTTGGTTTGGGTTTTTAATTTTTAAACCTGCTGAGTTAGTTTGAACAAATATTACCAACAAACAAATCTAAAATAATCGAACATCTAATTTAAAACTGAAAAGATGAAAACAAATTTAAAAAAAAAATTGAAATATTTTATTTTGTAAATAAACAAAGCAAAAAAATATAATATGTGTTTTTAGCTTTTGGTTTTGGATTTTAGTTTTTAGATTTTGTTTTTGGTTTTGCTTTACATTAATCAGTAAATTATTTAAGAAAAATAAAACAATAAATTATTTAAAAGTTACCATTGAAATTTATCAAAACAAAGTGATTGTTATTTAAAATAAAAATATATTAACATGTTTTAAAGTACATGATTTAAATAAATGATTAATAATGGATAATTTTGTTTAGTTAAAAATATTAAATACCTTTTGGGTCTGAAAATAATAATTGAATTTTTGATCTTTTAAGGTGAAAAGTTTATTCAATTTTTTTGGAGATTTTTCTTAATACTAAGCGCAAAAACCAAACTATATAATTTATTGAAAAATAAAAGTAAGCCCAAAACTATATTCCATAAATAACTACTGGTTTAATTTAAGTATAATTAGTAGATTTTCATATTCCATATTTTGATGACATATATTCTTTTAGAATATTCCATATTTGTAGGAGAAAATATGTGTTTTTGGTATACACATAGATATCTGCCGTATTTTGAAGGTAGTTTACATTAAGGTCGTCTTTTTACATTAATTTTGTTGGTTTAATTTAAGTAATACGGTTCAATTAACTATATGACTTATATTATTTGTAACATTCTAGAAAGAGTCCAAATTTAAATGACAACTTGAAACAGTAGATAAAAATAATTACTCTATTTTAATAGAGTAGAAGATTAACTCTAATAAATGATACAAATGACATAATAAATATAAGTGTCTTTAAAAATTGTAAATGTTACACCAACTTGCCTAATATTTAGCGAACCAAAACGATCACAATTTTTTTATTTTCTGAAAACATATAAAATATAAAAGTAAAAATCTGCGACAAAAAAGTATTATAGGACACATTTATCAAAATATTTATAAGTACGTATGTAATTCTTATGTTGTCACCTACTTCCAACAATATAATATAATACCTAAACAAAGATGAATTAAGCGTTCATTCTGTATTTTTTACTCCGTTTCATTTCCAGACTTTTTAAAATTTAACAAAAACCACAAAAGGTTAGTTTTATACTTTATTTTTTTTTAAAGATAATAAATGTGTTATATTTGTTTATCTTATTTGAGTATACATGAGACTCTGTAAAGTTTTCACTTTTTATTGATTCTATTTCTACTATCAGCTAGAAGATAACATAAATCTCAAGTAAGAGTATTTAATTGAAAAAAAAAAGAAAATAAATGCTTTGGACAAATTATAAATCTAAACACACATAATCCATAAAACTATATTTGATCTTTTATCAATAAAAAACTATAGTTGATCTATAATTAAATGATATTAATATTTAACAATGAACTTATTCATTTGTAAAAGTATAAACAAAATATTTTATCCCATGCAAATGAATGAATAGAAAGATATATCAAATCTTTGTTCTTATTGATTATATGATTGACAAACAAACACAGCCAACTCTATAATTAATAAACAAACACAGACAACTCTATGATTAACAACATCTGTCTCAACAATTCAGATATAAATAACTAATATAATTTATTATCGAGACGAAGAATTATATTGGGAACAAAAGAGTAGGAATTTGTGTTTGTAACATACAAGTGGAGATAGAAGTACAAAATTTTATCATGCTTTGACCAAACAAAGACGTATACAAAATAGGATTATTGGGTTATATAATGAGGATGGAGGTTGGATTTATTCAGAAGCTGAAATTGAAGGAGTGGCGGTCAAATACTTCAATGATTTGTTCCAGTCCACTTCCCTGTCAGAATTTGATAGGTTTCTTGAGGAAGTGCCACAATTGGTTACGGCTGCCCAAAATAGTAGGCTAACGGCTTTGGCGTCAGAGTAAGAAGTTAGGACGGCACTTTTTATGATGCATCCGGAGAAAGTTTTGGGGCCGGATGGTATGACGGCTTTATTTTATCAACAATCTTGGTCTGTCATTAAAGTGGATGTGGTTAATATGGTTAATGAGTTTCTCAGTTCGGGGTTGCTCGATGGTAGATTGAACATGAAAAATATTTGTCTCATACCTAAAAAAGTTAGGATGACGAAATTAAGACCCATTAGCCTTTGTAATATCGGATACAAGATCATATCTAAGGTTATGTATCAACGTTTGAAGAGGTTATTGCCAAAGCTTATTTCAGAAACGCAATCGGTTTTTGTTTCAGGCAGGTTAATTACAGATAATATTCTTATTCTCCAGGAGATGTTTCACGGGCTACGTACAAATAATGCATGTAAATAAAAAATTATGGCGATCAAAACTGATATGAGTAAAGCTTATGATAGGGTAGAATAGGCTTTTATGAAACAGCTATTACTGAAGATAGGTTTTTTCCCGGTTTGGGTAGCCAGGGTGATGACATGCATTTCGTCGGTTACATATAAGGTTTTACTTGATGGTCACCCCAAAGGTAGTATTGTTCCAAAGCGAGGGCTAAGACAAGGGGATCCACTATCTCCATATTTATTTGTTTTATGTACGGAAGCTCTAATTGCAAATATAAAAAAAGAGGAGAGAGAAAAAAGATTAACAGGATTAAAAATATCAAGTGGAGGACATGCGGTTTCACATTTGCTTTTCGCGGATGATACTTTATTCTTTTGTAAGGCAAATGTGGTTGAATGTAATATTATCCTTAAGCTCCTTAAAGACTATGAAGCGGTTTCGGGCCAACTAATAAATTTTGATAAATCTACCCTCCAATTTGGTCACAAAGGTACCGGATTTACAGAGAGTAGAAATTCAAAATAAACTTGGCATTTCTAAGTTAGTAGGTATGAGAAGTTATTTAGGAATACCAGAAAGTTTAGGTGGACCAAAAATACAAATTTTCGGATTTCTGAATGAAGGGGTTAATAATAAGGTAAATAGTCGGACAATACGGTTTCTGACTAAAGGTGGGAAGGAAGTAATGATCAAATCAGTGGCTTTGGCAATGTCAAATCATGTCATGTTTTGATATAGATTTCCAAAGGCGGTTACTAAGAAGATTAAAGGGGCTATCTCTAATTTCTGGTGGAGTAGTGGTGGAAATAAAAAAAGGTATTAACTGGTTTTCATGGGATAAGATTTGTTTGTCTAAGGAGGGGGGGGGGGTCTTAGCTTTCGTAATCTCCAAAATTTTAATACGGCTATGCTGACAAAACAATTATGGCGTTTGATAGATGATATCACTCAAATTACCCTAAGGAGTGAATTACTCTCTCAAATAAGAGATTCAGTTCTAGTACTTAGGGATCGAATCCACAAGGACTCTAGGATTACTCAAAAGATTCAAGTGTCTAAAATATAGCTAGACTAAAGATTGGTTTAAATGGTTTAAAACAATAAATAAAATAAAACAAGCAGATGATTATTCAGTAACTTGGATTGGAA